GCCAGCCAGCCAGCCAGCCAGCCAGCCAGCCAGCCAGCCTCCACCTTGTAATAATTTCTTCTAACAGTCAACCCTTTTCATGTATCGTATTTTCCTCTCCTCTCTGTTTTAACTTATTGTTTCATTGTGTCCCTTATAACTTAGTCTCAATCACTGGTCAATCACTGTAATATATGTATAATATTGTATAATTTATCTTTATTTCTGTTATTATTTATCTTTTTTTTCACTCTCTATCAATTCTTCTAATTTATGTGTTTATATTTCCTCATATTCCTATTATTATTATATTATTATATGTATAATATTGTATAATTTATCTTTATTTCTGTTATTATTTATCTTTTTTTCACTCTCTATCAATTCTTCTAATTTATGTGTTTATATTTCCTCATATTCCTATTATTATTATATTATTATTATTACTCTAGTTCTTCTGTTTTTATTATTCATTTTATTCATTTTTACTCCACTCTTGTTTTGTATTTTTTAATAAACAACAAATATATTTTTCCGCTTGATAAAATTAAAAATTAAATTTTTAAACATTCAAATACAATAATATATATAATAAAAATAATTAATTATATAAAACGAGGAAATAAATTACTGTACTGTATATGAAAAATAGTAAAAAAAAATTATAAAACATGAATATAAATTATCATCTCTACATAAAACTTGAAAAAAATAATTATATATAATAAGACCTAAGTATAAGTTATACATAAAACCTTAAAATAAATTATATAGAAAACTTGAAAAATATAAGATATAAAAAACTGATTCTACAAGACTTGAAAAAATTATTTATTCAATTACTTTTTTAAATCAATAGAGATATAATAATATATGATCACCTGAATATTAGACACCCTAGCTTTTTCACCTGATTAAACACCCTAACCTAACCTAACGCTAACCTAACCTAACCTAACCTAACCTAACCTAACCTAACATAACATAACAAACACAATTCAACCTAACATAACCTAATAAAATCTAACAACCTAACCTAACCCAACACCCCCAGGTAGAATTGAGGTGTTTAATCATCAGGTGAAATAAGCTGTGGTGTCTAATCTTCATGTCATCCATAAAATATAGTTAAAGAAAAGTAAAACCACAGCAGTAACTTAATTCATATATCAGGAGTATGGCAACACTTTCAGACGGTCAGTATAGGGGTATGGTGTTTTGTGTGGTAATAATGAGGGTTTGTTTACAGTGAGGCGAACCTGACACGATCCATCTCTCAAATGTGTGCAAAAAAAAATAATAGGTGAAATCCACGCGCTTGTGGGTATGGCTAACGTTGATTGGTTTGGGTCTTTCTCCTCATAGTGGCTGCTGCCTCCCCACCCACCGAAAAGTTTTGACCGAGTCTTCCCACGAGAGAATTGGTGAGTCAAGGTCTAATTTTGTGCCGAGTTACCCAAGGATGTGTGTTTATAAGTTCCCTGATGTGTTTACAGACGAGTTCCCTGATGTGTTTACAAGTTCCTTGGTGTGTTTGCTAGTTCCCTGGTGTGTCTACAAGTTCACTGATGTGTTTACAAGTTCCATAGTGTGTTTACAGGTTCCTTGGTGTGTTTACAAGTTCCCTGAAGTGTTTACAGACGAGTTCCCTGAAGTGTTTACAGACGAGTTCCCTGAAGTGTTTACAGACGAGTTCCCTGGTGTGTTTACAGGAAGAGTTCCATGATGTGTTAACAGGATAATCATCAGCATCTCAGCAACATCTCTTGAGAAAACAGAAGAACACTTAAGACATAGGAGACACCTGCATCTTAATTAACCTGACTTGAAGGAGGAGATTCATCCCAACACCGTCAGTAGTATTTTTTATCTTTTCTTTTCGAGACATCAGTACTGGGAGGGCCGCACACCTCGCCCTTATAACAAAGCATAAACGGCCAATTATCCTGTTAAGACAGAGCAATAAAGCGATAGCACATAGGCGCCAGCGATAGGGAGACGACTGCCACCCCGGGACTCCTGCCCACAACACTATCGTCCCTATCGTTTACACCTACTATGCTAACGAGCTCGTTCCGCTCTCGCTATTATCTTAATGTCTTCTCTGGTGGTCGTTAGAGGCTGCTGGAATGTCGGACATCTGTTAGTTCAGTCAGGACACGGAGGCTTGGAGGAGGTGGCTAGGACACATGGGGTGGTGGGGGTTCTAGGACACGGGAAGGTGAGTAGGGAAACTTAGGACACGGAGGGTAGCTAACTAGGACACGGCGGCAATATTCCCTGTGGCGAGGACACGGAGGGTTGGAGTAGGAGATGGAGATGGTGGGGGCGTTAAGTTAGGACACGGGGAAGGAAGTAAGCGATGGGAAGAGGTATGAAAAGCGAAAATATATCAATGTGGACATGGGAGAGGAGGACAAAGGATCTTGGACATGCACCATGATAAATCATTACGTATGGCCAAAGACAGTATGGGGGTATCTTGCTAAATAGGTCATGGTCTTGAAATGACACGGGCAGGATGTGTACATGTAAGGACACGGGCAGGATGTGTACATGTAAGGACACGGGCAGGATGTGTACATGTAAGGACACGGACGGGATGTGTACATGTAAGGACACGGACGGGATGTATACATGTAAGGACACGGACAGGATGTGTACATGTAAGGACACGGGCAGGATGTGTACATGTAAGGACACGGACGGGATGTGTACATGTAAGGACACGGACGGGATGTATACATGTAAGGACACGGACAGGATGTGTACATGCGAGGACACGGACGGGATGTGTACATGTAAGGACACGGACAGGATGTATACATGTAAGGACACGGACAGGATGTGTACATGTAAGGACACGGACAGGATGTATACATGTAAGGACACGGACAGGATGTGTACATGTAAGGACACGGACGGGATGTGCACATGTAAGGACACGGGCAGGATGTGCACATGTAAGGACACGGAGTTATTACAACATAATACAGAATTTTTTAGCATTATTAATATTATTTGTACTTGCAAAACTTTCTTGGGGTGAGACTCCTTCACAGAACAACAACAACAACAACAACAACAACAACAACAACACCAATAATAATAATAATAATAATAATAATAATAATAATAATAATAACAATAATAATTCACCATTAAGCCTACATTAGAATATCTCCATCAACCATTAATTACCCATAACCTCTTCCACCATTAATTACTAAATCCCCCTACCATCTACCATCATTAACTCCTACCCACTTATTAAACGTAAGATAATCCCTCACACCCATGTCATAATTGTCTAATAACTCATCCTGAATCATCATTACATTAACATAATTACCTCCAACAGGGCGTCATGTGATCACTTTACCGCCATTACACTACCCCCCCCCCCTACTGGAGAGATGTCTACCTTACCTGTATTAATTACACCCAGGTATTATAACTCTCTAAGCTGTTGTTAACGTCACATAATTTCTCTGGGAGTTTTATTTATGAAGTCAGTTCGCTTAGTGTTTCGCTTTTGTTAGGGTTTTTCTTTGTTTATCTTTCCTCCTCCTCCCCCTCCTTCTTCTCCTCCTCGTGAGATTATCTTCCTCTCTATCTGCCTCAGGTTCTCTCCTCGGTGTCCGTAATTACACGTTTTCACCTGTCTACCTGTCATCATGCTATCTCTTAAACCGTTTCTTTACCGTCAAAATATTCCTTTAAATCGTCTCTTTCCCGTCAAATTATTACTCTCCCCTAAATGATGATCCTTCTCATACTACTCCTCCTTCTTCCTTCACCGCCTCCTTCTTCCTCATCCTTCTTCTCCTCCTCCTTCATCTTTTTCTACTTGTCTTCGTCATCATATTCTTCTATCCTCCTTCCCTCCCCATCTCGTCAGGTAATATCCGTCCACCCTCCCCGTCCATCCATCCGTCCGTCCGCCCGCTCGTACGCCCGTCTACATGAAGGTCTTGACTGAGCGACACTCTTGTTCAAACCTTCTTTCTTCACCCGACACCTCTTAAGCTTCCCATAACAATCTATTTTCATCACAGTTCCCCCCCCACCCTATCATTACCCGGATCCCGTGTTCTTTGAAGCCCCGTCTTCCCGTCTTTTATCATTCCAGCGTTGCCACACCTCCGTTTAGGGTGAGCAGTAATTATCGGAACAATGGTCTTGGAGGTTCGGTCAGCCCGGTTTATTTTATGCATTCATGGACGAGGTTAATGCTGAACAGACCAGGTATTTTGGGCAACAAAAGAGAGAACTTGTGAATAATTAGGAGCACAGATGTTTGTTGTGTTGGTGAATGATGTTAGCAAGGTGTGGGTAAAATAGCTGAGCGGTGAGAGATGGTCTGGTACGTAATAAATGGTAATCCTCACCATTATTGACCCCGTGTACAGTACTGGTCACACCGGATACTGACTCAGGCAGGGAAATTCTTCATATAAAAGTCCTACATGAGCTATGCAGTTTTTATATAGCCAGACAGACAGACAAACAGACATATAGATATATATATATAGATAGATAGACACTCCTGCTAAAAACTAAACTACCACGACAATCTCTCCAGAGCAACAGGTGAGATCCAGGTATGTGTGTCATGCATCAGGTAGACACTTGGAGAGAGATGAAAGATGAAGAAGATAAATACCACACTTATTTCTCGTATCATCATTGACATAAAACCCAATAGAAATTTCGCCCCTAGCAGGAGTAAATTATAATACGTGTGTGTGTGTGTGTGTGTGTGTCAGTCCCCATGCCTATAAATTGTATTTCTTCTATGTATATATTCCTGAGATGTTTCCAGGTGCCGTGTCTATCTGGAGCTAATGATGTGGTATGTGTGCTGATGGTGACGGGATGGTGTGACTACCTAGAGAGGGTTTGTGGGTATATAGGAGAACACTACCTACTTACCACAGTACTACCACAATCTGTACCACAACACTACTACCATCTGTGCCACAACAACCACCACTAGTCTCACACCACAACAACCACCATCATTATCATCCAAATACCACCACCACCACCACCCCAAGAGCGGCGCCATCATCACGCTGGCAGGACCTCTTGACCAGGCCACCACCTCCTCTTTGTGCGCCATACACGCCATAACTCCCCGCAAATTTATGAAGTCACAAAACACTAAACGCCGGAGGACGGAAGAAATTGAAGCGCTAATCAACATTCAACCTTAAGTCAACACTCTGTTAAGATAGAGAGAGTTGAAAGGATGGAAGGAGGAAGTTCTGTCGGGCTAGGGTGACCTCTGCAATCAGTGTCCCTAAGGCCGTTAATAGCGGATCTCGTCACTTTGCGTTTAGTAAGGTGATATAGCTGCCGCGTGCAACACTCAGCGCAAGTTTTCCGACGTAACTTATCGATATGAATGATCGGGGTGGTGAAGTGTGATGCATATCTGAGTGTGCGGTGGTTCTCTAACACACCTGATACTTAAGGTGCTGCTTGACCGATGGAAGACGATGAGCCCTGTTGGGTAGTTTATTAATCTCTCTCTCTCTCTCTCTCTCAGGTGAAAGGGTCGTTGGGATCAGTTTCAAGAATGTAAACACAAACCAGACCATACACAGTGAACGAGACTCACAACACACATCATCAGACCGCCCCCCTCCGCCCTAAAAAAAAAAAAACCCTGACCAGTTTGGCCGTAATATATTTTGTATAACACATTCAATTTAATTTGCATGACAAAAGCGGTGGCGTGGCCTCACCGAACTTATACCTATTGTACACCTCTTCTTCATTTCGTCGGACATGATTAGAAAATGTCGGTAGGTATTGTGACACATTGGTCCATTATGGCCTCGTGACGTTAAAAATTTGGCGCTAGGACCATTACCATACCTAATTGTTCACAATATTCCCAACACTCTGGTAAACACACGCATATCACCGCCCTTGGCATATACCTTACTCGTACTGTAGACTCGGAGATGCTCCCTTATCACACACCCCGGGGCAACAGGGGCCTATCACGCCGCCACATCTTCCCATCGCCTCCACCCTCCTGACGTCCTGGCCGAGGGTCGATGGTCGCGCGGCGGTCAGAGGTCCGGCTTGTGTTCCTCGGGGTCAGCAGGAGTTGATCTGAGAGTGTTTGTTTTTCAGGGAGACAGCCTACAATTACCGCGCCATAATTAGAGGGACGAGCGTGGGCCAGGCGGAGGACAGCACCCACGGGCTCTTACGTCCTCAGCACCTACAGGAACGCAAACAGCCATCACCCTACACGTCGTACAGGAGCGCCATCAGCATCACCTACATGAACGCCACTAAATAAAGGAACACTTACTAGCATACCCTCTAAGGACATTAACATCAAGACCTAGAAAAACGACTTAATTATCTACAACAACACCACCTATAACATGACCACCACCTACAACAACACCACCTACAACAATACGACAACACCACCACCACCTACAACAATACGACCTACGACAACACCACCACCACCTACAACAGCAAGACCTATGACAACACCACCACCACCACCAATAACACGACCACCACCTACAACACCAACATCACCACCACCTACAACAACACCACCACCACCTACAACACTACCACCATCTACAACATCACCACAATCTACAACATCACCACCTACAACAACACTACCACTTACACCACCACACCCACCTACAGCACACCACCACCAACACTTGCTGTACTCCACCCTCTGTAACCTCTACTCTGTAATCCTTTTGCGCTACCACTCACAGGAGGAGTATGGGGTGCACGATAAACTAGTCGCTGTAAGTGGCCATATTAAAAATTCATTCATTATTTTCAACACTGCCAACCGTTGTCAACACCATACGAAACCTTATAAAATATCTGTGGTGGTCATCCTCACAACACTACACAGTCATCGCCACAGCACCACAGTCATCACCACAGTACCACAGTCATCACCACAGCACCACAGTCATCACCACAGCACTACAGTCATCACCACAGCACCACAGTCATCACCACAGCACCAAAGTCATCACCACAGCACAACAGCCATCACCACAGCACCACAGTCATCACCACAGCACCACACAGTCAACAAAATTTACCTGTGCTGTATCTGGACCAAGTTTCAATTCTTTGTCTTGAGTCAATGACGATACATACAGCATATACAATGACTATATTTCACCTCCAAAATAATGGCCGGAACGAGATAAGATATATTTAATGTACGGCCATCAAGGGATATATTTCCTGACTGAAGTATACAGTCTGGGAATAAGAATGATGTTAAGAATGAAAATAGATTGACGTTACAGAGATGTTGTTACGTGTTGTTATTCAGATGGTATGTTACTCAGATGTTATGTTATTCAGATGTTATGTTACTCAGATGTTATGTTATTCAGATGTTATGTTACTCAGATGTTTTGTTACTCAGATGTTATGTTACTCAGATGTTATGTTACTCAGATGTTTTGTTACTCAGATGTTATGTTACTCAGATGTTATGTTACTCAGATGTCTTGTTACGCAGATGTTGTTAAGTGATGTTACTTTACAGATAAACAATTAAACATAAGATAGTATTAAGGAATGTTATATCAACAATACTAAACATCACGGATCCTACAGCATAAAACATCCATTTAACCCAAGATGATATTAAATAATGTTATACTGTCAACATAACTAAACATCACATATCCCACAACATTAAAAAAAAAACATCAATTTGACCCAAGGTATTAAACAACATTATACTTTCAACATTACTTAAGAATTACATAAATCATAATGACACAATAAACGCCTCCGTTATAATACAAAACTCGGTATTGAATAAAGAAAAAAAGACAACAGGTAAACAATTTTCCTCCAGGTGTATTATTATCGTGTTGATGATTGACACTTTACAAAAATGGGGATAAAGCCATCAGCAATAACAATTAGCCGGTCTGACAGTAATTGGTGGCGGAGTAACACAAGTACGAGCAAAAAGAGTTACGGAGAAGGAGGGAGCAGGGGGATGGGGGGAGGGTGGGGAGAGGGTAGGGGTGTAGGGGGATAGGGAGGTGTATGAGAAGGGGGTTGATTAAGAAGGGGTGTAGTGAGGAGATGGGGATGATAAGAGGTGTAGTGGGATTTTAGATGGGGAGGGTGTAGTGGGGATGAGTGGGAAGGGGTGAATGGGGAGATGAGGAGGGGATGGGGTGTAGATGAAGATGGCATGGGGAGGGAAAGGGGTGCAGAGGGGAGATGGGATCACGGGGGATGTCGATCAACACCAGATGTTGTGGTCACTGTAGCAACACTCTTACAATAGGGGTGTGTGTGTGTGTGTGTGTGTGTGTGTGTGTGTGTGTGTGTGTGTGTAAAGTCAGAACTAACATTATATTAAGTGAACGATACTCTGTATACAGGTGTGTTAAGGACACTCATGTCTCACCTGTACTAACACAAGCAGCCTCTCGTGACCTTTGTGAGGTGGAAGGTCAAGGTCAACACCAAACACCTTTATAGTGGTCCACCTGTCCACTGATTGACTGCATGGCCCTTATTGTGAGTCCATGGGTTTTTGCCTGGCAGCTTCCCCAAAATGGTAGCCATCAGAGTGACGGACGGACGGACAACCCAGAATCATAATATTCCTTCCATACCGCGCGGGACATCAAAGGGATAATTCATATCAATCTGACCACCATAACAACAGCCTCACCTCATCCCATTAATGAGGTTACGGGCGAAAATAATCCACGTGATGAGACAGAGACTTACCGCGCTCTAATAATGTATACGGAATTAGCATAGACACACATAACATATAGTGATTACAGTAGTGTGTGTCGGGGTAAACAACTGTGTATAGAGACGGAACAACACAGTGGGGTAATTTTCTCCTGCTTTTTCCCAGTGATTCACCAGTCAGCACCACAACACCACACAGTAAACACCACAGTACCACATAGTCATCACCACAGCACTTGTTACTGTTACTTCACGTCTCAGCTTTCGTTCCGTCACACACCTAACCACCTTGGCGATAACAGCTTCCTACAGCCTAACATCCCTCCTTAATGACCAGCTGTATATAATAGGCACGCCATTAAACGGATCGATACCAACCTGTCGTGTACCGAGAGATCGAAATACATAAATGACTCGTTAATTCCACTCAACTGTCCTCGCCCGGGGTTAGTTTTCCTGATTGTATCTCAAAAACACAAAATCCTGTCACAACTTAGCGAGCGTAGGACCTCAAACATATCCTTTAATGATTCAAATCCTTCATACAAACACTTAATAAACCCGTAAACAAACATATTTTTTTACCATTTTAATAAACAAAGGTAAACAAGAATTGATCATTAGTTAAATCTACACTTTAAAAAAAAAATCCCTAATTGCAAGAAACATCCAGCAGGCAGGTCAGGAGAGGCGACCAACCAGCACCAGCCGTGGACCTCTCAAACACGAAGCTTCATCACTCAAGACTCGGGATTTTCAGGTTAGTGTCAATTATCTTATTTATAATAGAGAAAAATTACCTTAACTATGAAATTATAAAATGTGGAGAAGAGTAAAAGTAACTTCTGCTGTACTTAACTGACACTGTAACTATAACCTGTACCTAACTAACACTATAACCGGTGAATAAGACTGTAACTATAAACTGTATCTTACTGACGTTAACTATTAACTGTAACTAACTGGCGGATGTAAGTGATGATAACTGGCAAAGATCTACTTCCGTCCGTTCATCTGTCCGTCCGTCTTATCCACGAAACAAAACACTTGCTAATGGAAAACACGTGTACCTGATTTGCATATCTAGTGATAAAACAGTACACGACAATATAACAAAAGACAATAATAAAAGACGCGGTAGAGTATACTAATTAGCTAACGATAACAGATCAATTAAAAGAGTACAGTAATTATAACAGGTCAAATTATAGGAGAAAAGTACTATAATTTGGATAGCTGGTACGTGACACAAATAGTTTTAATTAGCATAAGTTTGAACAAAAGAGGTAAAATGTCGGGGGGGTGGGGGGTTATATAATGGTGGTACAACGGCTGATACCAACGTCCTGGGTGGGTGGGCGGGCGGCTGGGTGTGGATGGTTGTGTGGGCGGCTGGGTGTGGATGGTTGTGCACACTTTTATGAGTCACAAAGTTCACGCTATAGATCCAACAAAAGTGTATTTTCATTTTATATTTATTTTTTTATTCTTTAACTAACTTTTTTGTTACCATTCAGCTTAAAATTAGTAAATATTATCATAAAGAACAAGACTCGGAAGTGACTTTGTACCATATAATCAAGTCGAGATTATAATACAATTACGAACGGTCCGAGGGTCACCCAACCCTCGGACCGATGTTGACAAGCACAAAGTAATAACAGCCACAACAACAACAACAACAACAACAACAACAATAATAATAATAATAATAATAATAATAATAATAATAATAATAATAATAATAATAATAATAATAATAATAATAATAATAATAACAATAACAATAATAATAATAATAATAATAATAATAGTAATAAAATAATAATAATGATAACAATAATAATAATAATAAATAAATAAATAAATAAAACTTTTACATTTAGTACAAATACTTAGATATGTTATAGATATATAGTGCAGTAACAATATAAAATAAAATAAATCGTTATATACGGGTTTAGTTTACGGGTTTATTTATTTATTTATAACTTGTATTTAATACTATGATATTTGTTGTCCTCTCTAACCTAACCTAACCTATTTTAACGTACCCTAACTTATCCAAATTTAACCTACCTTAACCTAACCTACCCAACCCTACCCAACCCTAACCTAACCTAACCATCTTCCAAAGTGTTGCGAAAATTTCATTATGATTTTACAAATAGTGTTTAATAATCTCAGTAGTACAGGTGATGAATGGATGTAAATTATCGCCTCCAACGGGTTTGTTTTAAGTCTTTTTTCCGGCACCAGACCATTAACATCCATCCTGAAAAAACTGGTACAATTTGTCATTTCTAATGTTGTCTCTTAAAGGGACTGATAACGCCTGTTGAATTTACATAGACGAATATTCAGCCAAAGATTTCCATTCACTTTTAGTCATTCCTAAGTCGCATTTATTTTACCTTTACCTGAGTTTTTTTTTTTAATATATATAATCACCACATTTTAATATTTTCTATAACCATTACTACTGACGTCATTATTCACTATTTTTTCTTGGCTTTATTCAAAATTTACTTATTAATTGAATCGTCCCCGAATAAAAAAAAAAGG